CTAGGAGAGTATCTGTCGTACTGGCAGCAGTACGCCGCCGCGATGCGGGCGGAGGTGCCCCCGTCGCCGAGCGGCGGCGCGGGCGGCGACGGCCGCGCGTCGCCGCTGCCGGCGCTGCTGGCGCCGCGGTCGGCGCACCAGGACCGGCGGCTCATCCGGCGGATGGCGCTGATGCAGGGCGCGATCGAGGTGGGGCGCGCCGCAGGGATGCGCTGGCGGCGGCCCGTGCGCAATGAACGAACCCCTCTCTTCTCTGCACAGCCCGGGGAACACGCGTTGGTCGCAAACCCCGCACGATCGAAACACTCCGGGTCGCCTCTCAACGCCAACGTCGTTTGGGCGCCTTTACGCGGCGTGGTGCTTGCCCTGCTGGCCGCGGCGTGGCTCATCCCCTCCGCTGCCGCCGGCGCCACGGGGCACACGAGTTGCCTCCTGTGATCTCAATATCGGCAGGTCGACCGAGGTTCCGACGACGGGGAGGCGTCGCTGCTGGCGGGCCTGCCGGCCAGCGACCTGGCGGCCGCGGCGCTCGAGCGCGCGGAGCGCCAGGCGCCATTCTGCCAGGTCGGCGGCGCCGCGGAGCGCGGGGCGGCGGGTCCGGCGGGGCCGCTGGGCGGCGCGGGGTGGGGAAGCGACTATCTGCCCTTGCGCTTGCTTTGCCGCTGACCTGGTGCGCCCCACCAAGCGTGCAAATTTGACAACTTCGCTGGCATGTTGTTGACCTCCGTTTCAACCGCAGCTGTCACCTGGCTACAGCCACCGCCGCATCACGCGCGACGGGCGCCCGCAGTACGACGACAACCCGGGAGGCAGCGGCGGCGGCGCCGGCGGCAGCTGGCGCGGTGCGGGCGCCGCAGGCCCGGCGTTTGACCTGCGCTCGGTGGCCGAGAGCGTGCGGCAGGTGGGCAGGCACTCCATGGCAGGATAGCGACAGCTGGGAGCAAGCATGTTAGACCGTCGGTTGGACAAGAAGGGCGAGCTGAGGGCAGTGTTGCTGGGCCAAGCACGGCCGTGCGAAGATCGAGAAGAGCTTGGCTGCATGCTGGGGAAAGTTGCGAAGCCCATGCCATCCTCGGACTACCTTCATTTCCCGCCCTTGCCCCCCGCCTCGCTCTTGCAGGCCGGGCAGCTGCCACCCTGGCAGCTCCCCAGCGTCCGCAGCCCCCGGCCGCGGCCGCCCAACACGCTGAGCCTCGAAGAGCTATGGCAGTACCGGCAGCAGTACCCCTACAGCTTGCAGCACCCTGGTTACAACGGGCCCGCCGGCACACGCAGCCAAGCCTTCTCGCCAGCGGGCCACGCGGGTGGTGGTGGTGCCCTTAGCGGCGGCTGCGGCGGCTGCGGCGGCGGCGACGCGGCGTCGCACGCGGGGACGCGGGCTGAGAGCCTTGTGGAGGGCGGGCTGTGGGATGCCCCGCTGATATTGCAGTCTCAGGGCCAAGCCGGGCCGGCCGGAACGCGGTCGCCCGAGGCACACGGGGCCCGTGAAGGGCAGCGGCGGCGGCGGCAGCAGCAGCAGCAGCAGCCCTGGTCTCAGGGGGCGGGAGGGGAGCCTTGGCACACGGTCTCCTCCAACTCTGAGGGGGGTTTCCCTTGCTTGCAGGCAGCCCAAGCAGGGGCTTCGGGGTGGGGGGCGAGCGGTGGGCCGCACTGGGGAGGCACTGAATCCCCAGGCCGGCTCAACGGTTGGGGCTGGGATAGCCACCATCACCAGCAGCAGCAACAGCAGGCGCGTCGGAGCAGCAGCAGGTGCAGCAATGAAGAGGATGTGTTGGGCGCCAGCAGCAGCGATGGCCGGGGAGGCGGGGACGGCAGCAGCACCGCCACAACCACGGCGGCCCAGGCGG